AAGTTTCAATTGAAACCACAAATTGATCAAAAGTCAAAAGTGATTGCGGAATACAGGTTACATCAAACCATTTCTCATCTTCATCAAATAGATCCACAATCTAAATAAATCTGGCATTCTATACGAGTAGCTGTTATGAAAAACATATAAACTGATGTTTTTCAATCAGAGAAACCAATATTTTGTTCTACAATCTCTATTCACATGGATTAGATCTTTATTGTTCATTGTCAATTTGCATGGGCAAACATAGTAAGAGCAAAGTGAGAGACATACTCATTTGTGGTTTATATTGGAAATACGTGTCATTATTAATGCTTTTTTTCATACTCCTGAAATAATGTCAACAAAAAATTTATTGTGGCGTCGCATAGCATAAAAAAATAGAAGTGTGAAAACATTTAATGTGACGAAAAAATGCTCTTGCCAACCGTTTAAACTGCATAGTATTAAATGTATCATCGATATTTTATTTTGAGTTGGGAAAGGTTTGTCACAACTGTAGACACAATACGCGCGTTTTCTACGTTATAAATATTTTTCGCCGCGTTTGTAGCGGCACGTTCGCATCAAAGGTGTGATAAATATATGCTAATACAGCTGACAAGCTAGATTCCTAAACAAAATTGGTAAAACACTTTGAATCACTTTGATTTCCAATTTTGGCTCACGTTCGAAATTTGATTGGGAAACGTGAATATTGCATCACATAAAATAACGTTGATATTTTCATTGGACGCAAAACACTCTACTGACATTTATGAAAGCCCCACACGTGACTTCAAAAAAAAAAAATCTTCGAAATTGCAAAATTCGGTTCCGTTTCCATCAATTATAATGAGTTTCTTTGCAAATTCAAAAATTTTCATTCAAAACATGATTTCATCGCGAATTTTGCCCGCAATCAGAATTTACTGTCGATCAATTAGTGTTGACATTTGTTTGATTTCCAAATAGAAACGGTTTTGGTCAGTGTTCCTGTTTACAACCAAAACAAAATTGTGGAATAAAATGATTGCACGTTTCATCTTTTGCAAAAATGGTCGAACAAAAAGAAAGTCGCAGCAAAGTCGTAATTAATATTTACATAGAAAATATTTGAACGTTTTTCAGCCCACATGCTTAAAATCATACGAATCGATTTTTGATACACGTGCTGCATGTTTTTCAATACAGGCCAATATCAGTGCGGCCAATCAATCTACATACAAAAAGATACAGTTCCGTACTAAATCCATTTCCTGAGATATGTATGTTTGTTTTGATGTGCATTGTTTTTGTTTTCCGTTCGGCGTCAATTCCTTATATCGATCGGTGCTGCAAACTCTTCGAATGAGAATTCCACCAGTGATATTACCAATTTGCATATTTTTCTCACAATGGTCCGACGAGAGATTTATTTTATTTTAAAAATAGAATACAATTACTCACCCCTTGTGCTTTCTACCTGTAAACCAGATTTTCATAGTACTCTATGACGCAAATATAAATATTTATATTACAAATGGTTTTCTCTTTAGCAAATATTCATCGAATCAGAAATTCCAATGAATATGCAGCTGACAAAAGTGCACAATGAAATTCAATACATTGCAATTGCAGTTTCAAAAGTGGGGCACATATCACATTTCAGTATCAGATGGCATTTTCTACATAACCATAACTACATAGCAATAATTTATTCGGGAATTCGTAGAAAATCTGTGTGAACAATTATTCTGATTAGAATCAGATTCAGAGAAGTCAATATCAATCACAATATGAATAATGAATATCTCATTTATATTAACATCTCTCAAACATACCAACACGAAAATGAGAAACTTTTCCTCTAATTTCGAGACGATACACATTAATAGGCGGATATGGAAATAGGAGCTGTCGTCATTTGGTTTGAGAGATACACGCTTGGGTATTTTCCTTATTCAGAAACTATTCAATACGAAACACCGCACGTGCTTATATTATACGCCGCACTGATTTTTCTTCTCGTATTCTTCTTAGAGCAAATATTGTTAGGACGAGCGCTCTGAACTTTCGTTGAGGAGCAAAATATTAAAAGTTAAAAAAAAAAAATAAAAAATATTATGAGAATATATTGCTCTGAGAAACTGTCTGTTATTAAAGTGTATCATTAAGTTATTAAAGAAAGTAGTCTTAGTCTGATTTGTATTAAAGTGTATCATTTTTACTTTTCCGCACACATAGTGTAAGGTGAAAAGTATTGTAATCGGTCAAAATTTTGAAAACTTCAGAAACATGTTTTCTGGACGTTTCTGAGGTCAGAGAACCCGAATCAGGCCGTTTTGAGCATGGTTTATGTTAATCTGTACGTCGTACGTTGTACGTTGTACGTCGTACGCAAAATTTGTTAGCAAGATTGCGCTCATCGTAGAAACTTAATTCAAAATTTGACTTTACAGGATGATGTTTCGCTGGCAACCACACCATGGCGCTTCTGTCAACGTTGCTTGTCATCGTCGCGCTTTGCTCAACAGAAATATTGAAAGTTAAATGTTAATTACAGTTTGGAGTTTCAACAACTTTTTATATATACATTGCAGGTATATAAAATATAATACATATTTTTGAAAGTTTCACTGATGCTGATATTGCTTTTCCGTCCGGAATGGGTCAATCATGGTATCGCATAGCTTTTGATATGTGCTTCCTGTAAACCCACTTAATTTCACAGACATTTTATTTTTAACTTTTATCATTCATATGAAGAATGTTCAAAGAACAGGAATTTTTCGTTAGGTCATCGCTTTGTTTTTTCTTTCTCTTTTGAATTACAGACCATTTTAGGGGATAATCATTGCATCAGTTGATATATTGCCGTTTACCAAAGACGCAATTAAGTTATAATTAGTATTCGATATATCGAATACCAGAATAGAGTGATGACTATATATCGACGACGGATAGGATTTATTATTATTATAGGAAATTTGAGTATCGCCATTTCAGAACAATGCGATCTGTCTAGAATAATATTGTATTAGAAGAAAAAATCCCATTACTTGCGCGATGTAAATATTATTTGGTGTGCATGAGCTTAATTTAATTTTTTCATTGTTTATTCAGTGTAGAATAGTGGTTTTATGTTCTCATTTTATGTGTTGCAGGTGCACATCTCGTGCACATAGCAAAGCGCGACGATGACAAGCAACGTTGATAGTAGCGCCATGGTGCGGTTGCCAGCGAGACTAAAAAATAGCACAAATTTCGATCGCTTAAATTAAAAATGGTACGAATTTATGCCACCCAACATAAATTGTGGCAACCGTAATGAAGTTCTCCGTTGCCCAGCTGTCATTGTCGTCGTGCTATGGCACATAGTATTCGAAAAAAAAATATATTTGACAAAATGCACATGTTTACAAAATGTGCACCTTCCATCCATAAATTTGGGACATCAAATCATTAAATACACACACTGGTCGGTCTGATTTTTGTGTATAAAAGATTCTATTTGTAAAATGCCAATCAAGATCTATGCAACCTACTTTGGACATTTTATAAAATGAGCGCCAAAGCTGTTCCGCCTGTTATTTTTCAATTGAATCGACAATAAATTGATCGAAAATGTTAAAATTTTGTTTACTCATTGTTTTACAATGTACGTGGAATTTTGTGGTGAGTGATATTTTGAAACATTCGGTCAATTATTATAAATATTTTTAAGTGTTTTCCTTATTGCATTATTCTTTGTATGTAAACATGAATTTGCTGTCAGCGATGATAAAAGAGTAATCATAGTTCGTTAAAATGGTGTTTCGACGATATCATATGTCGTTCGCAATCGAACAGGACCCGATTTATGCAAAAAATCAATAGACTGTAAAATTATTCAATCAAATAAAAATTATTTCTTTTCATAGGACGTCTCGTCACGAGGTCAGTAAATCCTCAAGCTGGTCAAATATAAATGATTACTGGCTTAATTACACAAAAGGCTGTCCCCAACCACGAATAAAAAAACTGCGATTTGTAAACACTTTTGTAAAAATATAATCCAAGAGAAACACCTCTTTCATTCCAACATTTTCACAAAAGTTTAATAGTGTAAAAAGGTGGAATAGCATTACATGTCATCAAAAACAGTTTCATTTCACAATGCCTAACTTTCATTGAGCTTGCTTTATTTTCATTCATATTGTCATTTAATATAGATTTATACAGTTTTGAAATTTAATTGCATTTTGTGTTGTAAACTTTGCTAAAATGTAGGCCAGCACACTTGAGCAGACAAATTAATGCGGAGTAGTTTTTTGTTGTTTTGGGCGACAAGGAAAAAGTATACGATTTCGCAATCACTGTGGAGCCATGAAATTATGCAAATTATCATTTTGATTGCTTGTTCTAGAATATGGCTGTAAAACTCTTTAATAACGGTAATCCAACTTTGATCCTCATGCTAATCTTCAATCGCACACACTCAAACACATATCTAAATAATTCACTAATTGGTTATGAAATGTGATTTAACCCATAAAACGCATAAAGCGGTTTATTAAACCAAAATATCCGGCCGTAATTTATACATAGATCCATAGCATTGTTGCTTTCCATGACCATGTGATTGTGGCAGATATAATGAAGGTTCAAATTTTCGAGGAAATTTGTGTTGTTTGAAATCGAAGCGACGTAAGGATGTATATTGTATAAGAAGTAATTACCAAGCAACACATGATAGCTTACCTTTCCGCATCATTTTATTCTCATTTATTTTCGAAGCTGCACATCAAAGCCTTTTGACACGAAAGACTGAATGGAATTTTAATGACATTAATTCGATATTAATGGTATTGCCGAATTTTGGGTAAAATTCAAAAAAAAGTCGATTGTTTTACATTTAACAAATATAATAATGTGTTTATTACAAACAATGCTGTTATTATTACATAGTGTTTTGCTTGTAGCAAAAATTTCATTTTTTAAGTTTTACATAAATTTATCAATTTTTCATTGTATCACTTAGCAACAAATTACACGGTTTGTATCATTTTCAGGTGACAAAAATTTTCAATATTCGTTCAAATGAAGTCTCAATTTCATTTTTTCTGTGTGTGTTTTTTTATGTACCATTCTTTTCATAATTTCGTTGTTTGCATCCAGCTTATCAATTTTAAAATTATGGAAAATTCAATCATCTTGTTATACAACATTTCCGCAGAGCAAACAAAAACACCAAAACCGCTTTGAATTTCGTAATTTTATGTAAACACTAATAAAAAAGACATCTCGTTTCATATGTTATTTATATTCTTTTTGATTTATTGTTTAAATGCTCTCTTGATGGCTTTCATTCTGCTACGAATGTAAAATTCTATGTTTATTGAATAGCACTTAAGATGTAGATTCAAACAATTTAAATATCACGTGTATATTTTATTTTTTTAAAGTAATTATTTTGATATATTCGGCACACAAAAGGCCGTATACAAAAATATATTCAATCTCATTATTGTGCACACATATGCGAGTGACTTTGTCAAAATAGTTCATAGAACGTTTTCAATTCGCCAGTAATAAGGAAAGATGTCTTATGTTTATTTTAATCTTAAGTCTGACTTATGAAACCGTTGAGTTTAAAAAAAAAAAAAAAACGATTCAAGGTGTTTTTGATTGTCTTTTGAAATGTGACGGGACATTGTGTATTTGATTATGATTTGATTGGAACATTGAAATATATCGTTTATGTTTGAGACCACATCGATAAAAACATAGAATAAACAATTATCCATTTTGATTCAAATGGTGGCTATTGGAATATTTATAATTTGTATATTTTGCATGTAGGTGTTTGTTTTTGTACAGAATACCGCCGTTACTTCAAAGTTCCATTCATTGATTTTGAAGAAAAAAAATCGTCAATTCAAAAGAATTTCATCGAACCGACGGATTTGAACTGACGGCGGCCTGCAATTAATCTATTTCCCATATGACTTGTTTGGATATTTTATGGATAAGGTTATTCCCCTTTTTCAAATCTTATTCGATCTTCATTACATATATCAAAAACGATATCCTACAAGCATTATTTGGTTTGCTACAATCGACATTTATTAATTTAATAAATTTATTTATGATAATACCTCGAGTGTTTATCATTTTTTTAGTAAAAAAATTTACTTAACAAAATCTACGTATCAAATTACAATTGAAAATATTCTATCTTTTTTGAACCAAAGAACCTCCATACAATTTGGTTTGTTGTTAAAAACCATACTCTATCTTTGTCCCAGAAGAACTGAAATCTGTCAGCTATTTTAATCATTAATTTAATACCTAAAAAAAGTTTCAATTTCTTCACAGCCATTTTTTTTAATTAATCGCCTATTATTTTGAGCATAAAATTCTCCAATTCCAATAAATTGTTGGGCATGTATGTCGTATGTGTGTTACTTAAATGATTAAATTAAGAAATGTTTGTGATGTGTAAATTTATTTTTGTTTTCTCTTAAAGCAATTTTCTCAATGCGTAGACACATTCGCTCAATGTGAATTAGACGATTTTTATTAAATCAAATCTTACAAAAGGTATGCAACGTTTTCAGTGAAATCGAAAATAACATAAAAACTATGCTAAAGTCTATAATGACGAACACGGGAAATCCGATAGAGTTTGTATGCGCGAGCCTTATTTAAATTTCGACATTTTTTTTTTTTAAATGTGGAATTTATTGACCCAATCATATAATTTTAATGTTTTGGGTTTTCCTGCTGCCATATGTCAGCGACAACGACTTTTCAATGGATATCTGGTTACTCAATTGCATGATCAGACCGACGCCAAGCCACACAATTTCATTTTCAAACGAATCCAAGAAGTGAACCATTTGTTTGTTTGGCAAATTTATGAAAATTGTGAATCAGGAAGAAATCATAATCGTCCGTGTTCATTTTTTCGACAAATATAAGAGTCACCGGTGGCTGTCCCTTGAGAGCAAGCTAAACATATACTTAAATTTGAGACATTTCAAATAAGAAGAAAACCGACAAAAATTCCCAATTTTCAATGTACCGCGCTCTCATCATTTTCATCGCAGTTGTTGTGGTTATTCATAAATCTTTTTGTTGTTGAGAAAATCGCGATTGATTGGCGCCGCGACATAGTCTATTTTATAACATTTTTTTTTGTCACGGATTCTTTTCATAGTTTGCAAGGCATCGTTCTCTAATCGCTGCGCTGTCATAATTTCGAGAACCTGAATTCCATCACTAAGTATTATTGGTGTACAGTCAGATACGCGGATGCGAGCGCACACAAACCGAAATATATAAATATATCTATCGCAAGAAACATGAGCACACATCAACCGCGAGGCCAATAAAGCAGACATTTACTCATGAAATAGGCATGAATGTGATTCTAGTGTCTTGAATGCGTGTAAACAAATGGTCTCATGAATGTAAAAATGAAAAAAATGAATCGTTTATCGGCTAAATTTCGGTGCGGTTAATGTTCGTGCTCTCAAAACATAATTTGAATATAGCAGCAACTTAAGCAATTCATTCCTTTCTCTCTCTTTCTATCTCTATTTTTCTACTTGACGCACGCATCATTTTTTTTTTTCTTTTTTCAAATAATTTGCATTTCAAGCGAGTTTGTTTGCGTGAAATAGTCAGAACAACTATGCATACCTAACTATTGCCAAGAAAATGTGCTCCATCACTTTGAATCGCTATTTTATGAAAAGCACAATATAATTGCACGTGCATATTATCATCGAATTCTTTGAGTGCATGTTTAAGAACATTGCATTAAGAAAATTGTTTATGAAACACAAAATTGGATACAGAAATTCAGTGCATAATAATTGAGTTATCACTTATTCATCTATAACAATAGGCCGATGCACATGTTTGAAAATGTTTTTGGTTCGTTTTGTTGTTCTGTTTTGTTATGATAGAAAATTAGATTCTATTGTGTGTAGTGCACACAATAACCACTTGATGTGTATATGTATATATTTTATATAAATATGTGCGCGAAACCGAGCGGAAAAAGTGAAAGCTTTGTTCCAGCAATTACCATTTGCAAACCACAATAGGGTTGTGTTGACTGCATCTATCTTCTGGACACCGCTGAACAATACAGAATTCGCGCACACGGATAAGATATTTTTCCAGCATGGATTTAATTTACACGGATTTGCTTTATTTGCCGCATTCCGTTGCATTCTGTAGTGGTCATAGTGATGCCGTCGCTATAAATCCTTGGCGCCGTTTAACTACACGAGTCTTGTGAAGCTCGCCTTTACAACAAGCAACCATTGTTCCTCCTTGATTCAATGGAATTGTTTTTGTTTCCTTATTGCCAATACCTGAAAAAAACAACAACAAAAAATTCGTTAGAAAAATGAATGTGGATAATGCGTTGTATTTTATATTGAAAGATTTCCCAATAAGAGCAAAAACTTTTTTAATGGATTTAGTATTATTTTCTGACAATGGATTGAGTGTATGATAGTAAATTATATGAAAAGTTCAATAGCATCCGACCAACTGCTTTTCTTTCAGTTTTCAATGACCATTGTGTCGAAAGATATGGCTGCTGCTGAGTCATTTAAAAAACGTGTTTTCGCAATCTTGAAAATGTTGTTTGTAACTCTTTCTCTCTCTGTCTCTCTAACACACTTCATCACCCTACAAGTTGTAAGCTACAACATAAACATCAAGGCGAAAATCCTTGAGAAATTATTGTGCTCTCTAAAACACAATAAAATGTTAAATTGGTCACAACAAATGAAACGAAAAAACAGAACATAATAGAAAAACGTTTAAAACACGTGAAAGAATGAAACGATGTTATTCGAATGTCGAGCGCAAGTTCGATGAAAAATCACTTGATTTGAGTTGTCAACAATGTTCAATGCTATTTCACTTTAATCAAAACGATTATTTTTGATGAGTTGCCGCCAATCGAAATGACCAATAATCATTTGGCGAAGCGAGAGCGCGTGAACATTAAGAGGCGTGAAAAAAAAACTGTTCTGCTTTGTATCCATGGTCAAAAATCAATAGCCTATTTCTGAATCATTCGATAAAATGTGTGTGCTCTTTACCGTAGATGCCACATGGCATGATGTGTCGTTTTCTTCTCAATTTTCATAGATGTTATTCGATGCATTTAATTTATTTTCAATGAAACAAACGACCAAATTCTGTTAACCAAACGGTCAAAAACAAATTGATTTTTTTTCGCTCTAAATCACAGAAGTTTTACTACTATTTGCCATTACAACAAGCAATGTATACAGCATGATAAATTAATCGCAAGACACAAAGAAAATGGTTGGCATCGTGCCAAATGCAATTTACAACCTATTAGTCGTATGAGTCATCATCGATCGCGGTAGAAAACGATATTATATATTTGAAGGAAATTTTCGATTTATGTTTATTAGATAAATTTCATTCGTTGTAGACGGGATATTATCGCGACCGTGTGCGTCGAGACGGGAATTCGAATTTGCACAAGGCAAACAATCAATTAGCCCTAATGAATGAATACGAAAACGACGATAAAGAAATTGTTGCTTACCTAGTATTTTACTGACAGAAAATTTCCGTTGTTTGACCGGTCGTGCTTTTGAATCGTTCAACAAACGTTCGAATGCTTTGTATAGACTTGGCGAATTGTCTGCTACACTTATTTCACAAAATCCAATACCATGCGAAGCAGCCAATGATGCACCTTCAGACTCGCTCACCTGTCACAACAAAGAAGAAAAAAATGACAATATTAATAAATATATTCAATGTTCACAATCGCCAATACATAAATATGTGTTGTGAATCGAACAAAAAAAATACACCCCGAAAACTTGAATAAAAAAGTGAAATTTAAATTTGTTTCAAGCGATGCGTTGACATTAGATTCACCGTATCCCAAATTGATGTTTCGCCAAATGTTCGCTTGGGCGTACGCGCATTCTTGAGTTCATTAAACTAATTAGAAAATTCAACAAATCAGAAACGGGCTACCAACCAAATGACTATACCACATCTTAAATTATATTGGCAAACATAGCCGTCAGAACTTTTGACATTATACAAACAACGACCGAAATGTGAAGACGCTTTTGTAATGTAACTAAACCACATTTTTTTTTTCGAGGCACACTCAACGGTTAACGAATTTCGAACCGATTAAATACCAAATCATTCATCATATATTATATACAACTCAAACTTATGTATATATCGAATTGTCTGTATATTTTGTGGCATTTATCATTATCAATTGTTTGCATACAAGTGTTAATTTTGCAATTCAACAAAACAACAAGTACTCTCATTAATGCAAGCGCAACAGTTCACTATGTGAATAATTCATTAAATTTTATCGCTTTCAACAAATTATAGCCTTTTCATATGCTCTGATTTCAAAATCACTTAATACACAACGCAAAATAATGATGCGAAACTTTCGCAGAAATTTTTTGTTTAATTTGAAAAGCCCCAAAATCAACAAAAACGACTCTACTATAGTGAATGAGTGCGTGAGAGAGAGGTAAACAAGCTGAGTTTTGTTTATGTTTTTGATTCTGATATTCCGACATTCACAAAAGCTGACACATCAACGGGTTTCCCTTTTTCTATCTCTCTCTCTCTCTCTCTCTCTCTGTTGCTGTTTGTTTTATGGATTTCTAGGTGAGAAATGAGCATTAAATATGCTAAGATCATGGTTGTTTGCATTTTCACTTGGTGTTTTTTTCAAACTTCGCATATGAAACGCAGTTTGTGCTCTCTTTTGTACGAATTACGTGAAATTTATGATTCGAACTAAAAGATGATTGAAACGTAACAAATGAAAACCGAGGCGCATTTCAAATAGAAACAAAACATAAATTTCAAAAAAAAAAAAACAACAACCGAAAGTAATTGATGGGCACCAAATCTCAGGCGCCAAATGTGACCCCATTCGATTTGTTTAAAAAAATACTTATTTGAATCACTTACCTCTCTTAAATGATCTAGATCGGCTTTGTTTGCAATCAAATAGGCAGATGGTCCATTTTGTAGTGATTTAAGGTTGCCCAACGCTCTGGTTGCGTACTTAAAACTTTCACGATCTATAATACTGTATACGATTAGGCATGAGTCAGCCCATTGAATTTGTTCAATCGGAAAATCATTTTCGGTGTCAGCCGATACATCGATGATTTCGACATCAAGTAGACCACTGTCTAATGAAATCGTTTGGCGATACAGCAGGTCGGTCTTTGAACGATATTCACCAATATAACGTCTGGTCAAATAACGTACTGTCAATGCTATTGGGTAAATCGAATGAAATTTAAACATTTAAAAAGGGTTTTTGACTTGAGTATTAAGAAAAACGTTCAAATTAGCACGGTAACCCAATGCTTTTTTTTATTTTTCTCGAAGTTTTTTAACTCACCTGATTTGCCAACGTTAACATTCCCCAAAACGGCGATCCGGACCTTTTGTAATGAACTCTTATCTTCTGCTTTCATTGTGATCTGAAATGATAGAATACGAAACACGCTCAATTAGAAATAAACAACGGGCTCATTTTGTATGCTATCTTATATGAATACGTTTTTCAAATCAAAGGAATTTTATCACAAACAAAATAGCTCGTGAAAATTTATAGCATGTAGGCATGTGTCATTCATTGTCTGACAAGCGTGCGAAAAAAAATCACATGCGATTAATCTGATTTGATTGTGTGCGAATGTGTGTTTCACACTCAACTTATAATTTACATGCGCTTGACTTGTACTTTATGTCATTACACTCACACACATTAAATAGATCGTGTTTTTTTTTTCTTGTTTGAAATTATTTTATTTTTACATTCGCATTTAATAAATGCTTGGAATAAACGATCACTAAAATGAACAATAACAACAATACAATACAATGCCAAAATAGAATGAAAAACAAACAGTGAAAAGATGTCAAAATAAAATTCCAACGGTTTTATGGAGTCAGCGACTACAAATGCGAAATGAAAACGGAATGCGTACAGGCTAGCAATATTTGTTGATAAATACCGGTCCAAAGGAATTTTTGACGCACTCCGGATGAGAGGTAGTGAATCGTTACTGATTCCAAAGTTAAATTAAATAACGCAATCACCGTACCGCTTGGATACAAATAGGAACATTCACGAATATGTGATGCATCAGCCGCTCACAATATCTTATCACTAACATCACACACATTGTGCGAAATGGTAATGGAATGCACGAGCTGTTTCCAAGCACATATAAATCTGTATAGATATTATTATAATACATTCATTCTCAGTCATATATGAGGATAATACAACACACCAGCTGAAAATGAGCTGCACTTTGGCGCCATTTCATTTTAATTTTGATGCAATGTTTCGTCTTTCACAGCTATTTTTGATTCGTTTATTCGCACGCGCCCGTATTTGTGTGTATGCAAACTCGTAAATACCGCATTTTGTCCTTTTAATCTCATTCATTCTTTAGTGTCATGTCATTTTAATGAAATCATGTTATTTATTTTGTTGTTGCAGTGACAACTTAGGCATAATACTGCTTAACTCGCATTTTCTTTCTGTTTGAATGCACCAAATTCCATTCTACTCATTTTTCCATTTGAATTTTTTTTTTCGCTGCATTTCGCAGAGGATATTGATTAAACGGTGAAAAGTGGTAAAAATTAAAACAAAAACTCATCATATCGTTTCGAATAATGAAAATAATTATTATTATTTATTCATTTTATCTGTTTAAGTTTTTATTAATTCATCATTCCCATTACAAGCTCAATTGGCGCAAGGCTCAAACATGAAAAAAATGAGTGCTTTTAATGTGAATTAATTGCTTTGGCAATTTCATTCATTTTAATAGTTTCAAGAGAAATGGATGGTTTTAAAAACTCTAAAAATTGCTTTGCCGAATTGAATTGCTCCAAAATCTGATACACAGCATTGTTACGTTGGGTCATTTCGTCCATCATAAGATTGACGATTTTTTCAATATCATCACGTTTGGTAGCTGCTTTCTTTTCATGTGCGATAAACATATCTTCTAAATCACTCATTTGTCTAGCCGAATATTTCTTTATTTCTTTCGAATTATCTTTCATCAATTTTTTGTCAGCTTTAAAAACTTCTGTCACGTATTCCAGATTGGATTTGTCAAAATTCAAGATTGTCTTTCCCCATTTATCAAATTCATTTAATCCATTTTCAAGCAGACCAAATATGTCGGATGCATCACTTTTCAGACCTTCAAGTGCAGTTTTTACATGTTCAATTGATGAACGAAGTACTTGATGTTTTTGCACCAGATTTTCCGGATGTATTGTATAGAATGATGGTTTTTTGAAAATTTGATCAAGATTTGGCGGTTTTGGCGTTTCCTTCCGGGGCCCACACAAATTGCAATGGGTCTTTTTTTTTGTTTATAAAATAAAAGATTTTAAATGAGAAAAATTGTAAGTTGGTGAAATTTTCAATCAGACACTTACGGCACCGGCAAAAATCGCAACAGCGAAAATGACTTGGAATAAAAGCTTCATATTTTTACAAGAACTCAATAACGAACTACCTCAAAAATGCTATCGCAATTTATATTTATAGTGATCGACGAACATCGCAATAAAACATCTTGACATACAAAAATTTAAAATTTATATTCTGAAGATGTAATGAAAATTTAACGATTTTGAATATTCATTTACTTTTACACTTGGGTATATTATATGAAGAATTTGAATATTTATAAGGTCATTTGTATGAATAATTTTGGTTCTTTGGATTATTGATCAAACATTTAAATTCAATTGTATGACATGAGTAATCGCGATGCATAAATTTTGAAAATGAAAAACGAATTCATAGTTGAAAAAACTAAAGCATCGAATTACAATTCATGTGATTTGATGGATATTGAACGCAACTAATTCATCTCAACGTTCTCATTTACAAGCAACTCCTGACATTTATACCGAATGTAATAAAGACGGATAAATTGTAACGACGACGCTGTAAACTATATAAACTAAGATTCACTCGAAAGTAGTCATAAATAAATGCTCTCTGACTTTTTGTTCACGTCATTTTGTAACGCTAATGTGCAACACTATGCGAAGTCAATGAATCGAACGAAAGCATACATATTTACTTTATTACGAATCTTTTTTATCACCGAACGTGCTGCCGAACAAGCCAACACCAACAAAATTTCTACGGCTTCGCTGGCATTTGTGTGAAAATGAGAGCGTGTTCGTATTTTTGACCATAAATTGTAAACAATGTGTCACTTGTTTTATTTTCAGTGTTCGGTTTCGTTTTGTTAAAATTAAATTTCGATTCTTCACTTCACAGCCTTTTGTTGTGTTCTGTAACGTTGTTTGGCATGTGTTTCGATGCGTGCCTCTCGTGTATACAAGATCGAGAGAATAAAAAAAATGTGACATAAATGTGAACGCGTCACTCGGTCATTTATCAGGATAAGATACACATGGTCGTAGAGCGAACGCACGCTCATACATCGGAATGGCTTATTTATTACTCATTCATTTTATGAGATGTGAAAACAAAACCGAATAGAGCCCTTTTCCATTCACGCAAAACACAAGTGAATGCTCTCACGTCGCTTGTTTTAAAGCTTCATTTAAAATTCATAGACATTGGGATTTTCTTAGTCTTCTTCTCAACATTCTAGTGCACGTTCAAGCCTGCCGACGCACCAAACATTACAAGCATTTCAATCGGTTGTCAAGTTACGTCCGACCATTTGGTAAACATAATTGATGCAAAAAAATTCTGGTTCCATGACTAAGAGATAATTCGTTTTACGTGTGTGAAAGTGACAATGATTGTGTATCAAGGGTTTTGTTTGCAGTGGGAAAAGGTTTGATGACAACACAAATTTTATGAAGAATTCAATCGATATATAAACGTGACCAAATACCATCAATTATTAGCCATACACGTGCCAACTATACATTATTATGTGTTTACTGTTTGGCTTTTTAGGCATTTGCAAAAATGGTTTTTATTGGAATGTGAAATCCTCATTCCCTCTCGTCCGGCATGGATACACTTTTCAACGGTCCGATAAGAATTGATTGAACATGGTTTGATAACACAATGACTGGGCATTTTGAATAACAATTACTCGACTATTGTCATTACACTAATGCCACTAATCTCATAATAAATAACAGCAGGAAATTGATGGCCCAATATTGATAATGTGATTTGTGTTCAATTTATATTCAATTGAGTAGTAGAGATCGGTATCTGAATTTCCACATTATAAGTAGTTGATGGAAAAAACGCAGCGACGAGAATTTCATATACATTTCATCTGAATAAAACCGACACCGAAAATACATATGGATTGAATTGCATTGGCTTCAATATAGAGTGGAAAGGTATGCACGTGTCAGTTTTATTAGGCTCATCCGCGCTTATCCTATCTCTCTATAGGACATCTCTATTTGTCCAAAAGCTAATCCAGTTTTCGATCGAAGCTTTGAGCAGCAACTTATTCGTTTTCGCCGTACTTTGACTATGCTGAATAATTTTCGGCACGTTTTATCCATCAAATGTTTTTTTTTTTTCGATCAGAATATAATTAAATTTTTGCTGTCCAACGTCGAAAAAAAATTGGGCGATAACAAAAACTCAAATGATTATAAGAAAATCAAGAATGAGTGCATATTGTATAAATTAAATTCTTTTTTTCTTCAGTTTCCTTCTTCTTTGTGCCTTTTTCTAAAATTGAGTCTGAAGCTTTTTTCCTACGCTATTTTTTGACATTTTTGTTAAAATAGATTTTTGATTTTACGACACAGAGGTGCGATGAACTCGTTCATCTTGTTTTCCTCGTTGCTGTTTTCCACCTCATCAAATTCGATGCAATTCATTCGAATTCGTTTATTTGCCTGTACGCTGACAATCAACAAGTGAGGTGTGAATCATGGTACGTCGACCCAGTCTGGATCATAAAATGTACGAGAAAGAGTGCCATGAATCACGGCACATTTGCTACCGCACTGAAGATAACAGTTGACACTCGATTAGACTTTTACGTCGCTTAAATCAACTTCATTATTTGGTAACATTGAAAGTGCTATTTTATGTTATCGTTTCACATCAAATTTCTGTTTATTCTGATCATACTTCCACAAAGTACACATGATAATAATAATGCATTCCAATGTTATCATGTCATTTTACATTTTGTGCAAATGGAATGTGGTTTTTTATCCCCATCTTCCCAAGCATGGAATTAATTTGTTGTTGATATGTGCTATTCTTGTTTCGGTGATTTTTGTTATGAAAAAGGTCATCACGGTGACTAAGTTCCAGTGTATGATGGAATTGTTCTATTATTTATTGTTCTAAAATCATTTCAAGCAGCTTTATCAAGTTAGTCAAACAGATGGAGTAAAAAACCTTTGGTTAATGAATGTTGAAGGCCATTTAAAATGCTTAAAACACAAATGCATTTGCTTGATGATGAAAATGTAAGTTTTATTTTAGCGTTTGTCTTATCATCATATCTCTGGAGCCGACGGAATTTTGTTACTAAGTCAACATTGGTCGCATCCCACAAAATGCTTGCAATTGTCTTTGTATTGAAAGGTCAAAACACAGCCACAAAAAACACTCTACGCACAAAATTCTATATCCAATCTCTATTTTAATAGAGCCCCGAGGTTCAAAAGCGAATTGAGCGAAAACAATGGAGACGTGTTCTTCTTTAGATATTGTAGGCGAATGAAAATGGAACACAGAGAGAGAGTGAGACTTTAATTGGAGCTATTTTTGAGATTCTTCATTTTAAGCACAGATCACACAACCATCTACTCAACGGTAAATGTTTGCACTTTATAAGTGTCCTTAATGCTTCTTTCCAATTTAATATACATATATGAATAACGTACACTTCATTCAACACTCGAGAAAAAAAAATTATAACAGGAAAACCTTTTTTTTTCGTTTTCTAAGCCGCAGTTTGAATTAAAAATATCGAATGACGTCAACGATACAAAAAAAATCCCGACGAAAAAATGCAAAGAATACTTTTCGTCAAACAATTATGAAGGGCATTGGTGTGTTAAAATCTAAACTAAAGTATGAAGAAGAATGTTGAACATTCAATGAAAGAGGTTTGAATTATTCCAAGTATTTTAATATAACAAAAAAAAATTTTTGTTATGAATATGCGTCAAAGGAAGGGACTTTTTGATACTTTCTGTAGGTTTTTCGTTAAATCCGGAAAAAAGCAACAGCAACAATACTTTGACTTTTGAAATTTTATCATCGTTTTGCAAATGCCAAAAGGTGTTGAAGTGTTTGCACGGAATCGTACAAGCATACATATAGGCGTATGTATCTTAATTACTTTTATGGTATACGATATTGCGTGGGAAAATGCAAAAGTCAAACGAAGAAATTGGCAAATTATGTTGAAGTACAATCTTGTTCAATAATATATTCAAATTAAATGGTAGTGATGCCTTAAAATGGGACAGTTTTGTTAAATTTTGTGCCTGGTAAATTCGTAAGACACGTGTTCTAAATTATGACCCAATTTTCTGTGCAAAAAAAATGAAACAACAATTCAATGTCGAATGGTTTATGTAGTATGAAATAGAAAAGTGTCAAGTATCTGAAACATATTACGTTGTGACAGTCAACATTCGCAAATAAGTAAAATAATTATTCATGTGGCTAGTTTTAGTGGCAAAAGCATCAGTTTTTGACACCAGAACAAAAATTCGCAAAAATTTGGTTCAAGGTTTCCAAAACAATTCGCGAGATCTTTTATTAGAAAAAAGAAAATTCATTTCGAAGAGTCCCAATTTTCTCTCTCACGTCTAGTAATCTTATTAAATAATGTTGCTTCAGCAAGGCTATCATCATTGTATTATCCGATTAAACAGTCAAATCGCCGAAAAAGAAATGTATTTGAAGTGCTAATTTTAAGCTCGATAAAATAGACGAAGAAAAAAGGACAATATAAAATTTCGCTTTGATTTGAAAACACCTAAATGAATATATATCATTTCAAAATTCAATTGGATTTTTTTTCTTTGTTGGCCTGACAACACAATTATTTTAAATACCTGATCGCATTCAAGTTGATTTTTGTTTGACTTTTCAATGGTTGTCTATCGTATCAAATATTATTCAAAAAGCGAAAATGACATACTTATACATTTTTTGTTGGTAGAAATGGGTCATGAATTGTGAGTCTGAAAACAGCAGACTTTTAAAATCATTTTGCAACGCGAAATAGCGAACAGAATAATTTTCTTATAAAAAAACCATCGATTGTTCACATGACTTGCTTCTCGTCTCGTTGGTTTTCCAGTGAATTTTTCACAATGTTTTTTTCGTTGCGCTTTCTAATACTTGAACATAACGCTTGTTTATTTGTTCAATTGAATAGTATATGTTTTATTCCCATTAGCGATTTTAAGGTGAAACCCGATATTTGATGATTCTGGTATGGAACTTGTTGTGTTATTATATGTGAACTTTGACATTTTCCTAACATTTTAATCGCTAGAAGAAATGTTGATACATTGATGCTATGTGATATTATGTGCAAATGTCAAAGGTGAATT